AATTTCTCACACTATACTTCATTATCCATGTAAGGAATTCCCTATAATAATAAATAGGTAGGTACCATAGACATATATCTAAATAGACACAGCAAATACCGCACTCTGTATGAAAACCAAGCGTCCACATTTTTGTACCTACGATGACGTCACGAGCTATATTTAGTGGTGGGAAACCGCCTTCAGCATTAAAGCGATTGATTAAATGGAAGATGCGGACGCAGCACGTACTTAGAATAATGATTTTTCAAGTATTTGTTGATTACAAGAAGCCGTGAAATATTAATATAGTAAAATAATAGCAGAGTAAGATAATTAAGTCCTTTATTAATACGTATTTTGAAAAAAAAAGTTACTACGTAAAAATAAAAAAATATTTTTTTATAATTTTCCAAGGACTTAAGACTTATCATCCCTTTTGTTCCTAAATCTATTAAAATCGAGAACTGTTGCAACGAGTGAATATCACTAATCGTAAAATTTGGTCAAAAACATGACGAAGCGGTACCACGAAACTGAATGCTTTAAATGGCTTTATACAAAAGTATCGTTTGTTCGATATTCATGGCCTACTAAAGAAGGACCACAAGTGTACCGCACCAAGTAAAACCGCAATGTGTTACGAATCACGCGACATACATATTTTTTTTGCATATTTGGTTTCTCGAAATTCATTCCAAATCAAAATATTTGATTTTAAAATAAATTATGCTTATTCTGATTACAAAATTACATAAATGTGCAAGGAAACGTGCGTGGTTCACAGTGAGCGGACGATAACCAGGTACTCATTCTAGCGAGTGAAGACTGTTTCACTCGTACACGTTAGAACCTCGTTACTGTATCTATCACTACAGTAACATCTCGCTAATGAGTACCAGGCTTTAAATTATTAGATAAAGAAAGTAAGTAAGTATAAATAAAGAAAGTTTTTATAATTATTAATACACAGATCGAATACACAGAAAAAATCTTTCGATCTGACAGGTCTCGAACCTGTATGTGCTCGCCAATCTAGGGCAACCGCTCTACAAACTGAGGTACAGACCGAGTCAGTAGACCTTACGAATTTCTCTATGCGTTTGTCACAGATTGTTTTACTGGCTTTTTAATGGCTTTCTGCCGTAGCGCCACTTGTAACAAATCTTTTTTTTTTTCAACAAACTAGTGAAATACCTAATTTCACAAAAAGAATATCATGGTAGTAAAAAATCATGACATTCAATAAAAGGAATATTTTTTGTGAATTTTAAAAGTATTTTATTTTTATTTATTATTATTGTTAGTTTTAATTTTTTTAACGCAAACACTCATAGCCTCCCACTAGGGAAACCCTGTGTCGCGTATGCCATGGACACACATATAAACATCCACAAATTACACCCAAAGTCACGAGAGAATTATTTATATTTATATTTAGTCCTTTTTACTGGATCAAGAGCACTTGGCACTCAAGATTTAAATTGCCTCTATACGCCTTTTGCGATAAGAACGGTACAGAGTCCAGAAAGTCAAGCTTGATGTGCTATTGTGGTACATGAGTATAAGAAAACTATACTAGTATATTATTGCGCCTTTTTGTAGAGCCCAGCGTATGTAGGCATATTATAGGTACTTACGCTCTTTACCACCTCATAGGTCAATGTCGTCAAATAATAAATAAAATTAAATGTTCATTACATTTTATTTTATTTATTATTTGATATTAAAATCTCTGCCTATATACAATAACGCAGTATTGCATAGTACTACGTACGTGCCGTAGGAAAATGGATTCTTTATTACGATAAAGTTTTGCTTGTTCTGCTCGTAGCTGTGTTCTTAATTCAAAATCGTAGTAGGTACTTTGCAATACTGCGGTATTGTATAATTTTTATTCTCGACTGTACTTGTTAGTAGAAACGGTTGGGTTGGCCATGTGGAAATGAAATTTCACTCATTCCAACCAGTGACGGTGTGGTGGGAAAGAATGGAAAAAATCCACTCCCCACCAGGGGGGACCAGCTAGTAGGGTCTAGTGGAACGGGCGATAATGGCAGCGATATCTTATTCCGTAAATCTCGAACATCCAAAGCATGGACTTTTGAAAAAGTATTTCACACAAATAATGTTAAATAATATTTCCTTAGGGAAATGAAATTAATAAACAAATTTTAGAATATCTGAAAACTTATTTTAATATTACGTTAAACGATGTACGTATATGTATTTAGTATACATTCTTACAACTACAAATATATGTAACTATACCCAGTCCAATCATTTATTAACTTTTGACAGCTCGAATTCTAATCAATTATTGATGTCCTATAGTGTCTCCGATTCGATTTTTTATAACAAACGATTTTATTTATGAAGAAGTTTCAATCGTGAATGTGAGCCGGTTCAAAACAGAAGATATTGTCTGATTGAGATAGTGATGTTGCGTTTGACAATTTGTGTACTCAAGAATTAATGATAATGAGCATTCAAGTGATGATTCCCTTTCGTATGGAGAAGAATCCGACGATTCGTTATATTAAACAACAAGAATTTATTATAATTATTTTTAATTTGTTTCATTTCATTATAATTTATTAGACAGGTACCAAAACTTATCAACTTTAATCATCTTCGTTACATATTCTGTTGGTTCGATAAATATCGGAAATTAAGAGCACGTCGCTTCACTAAAATGAAGAAATAAGAAAGTACAGGAAGTATTGCATTTTTTGTCTATGGTTGTATGTCAATATTTGCGGAACTTCGGAGGCACGCTTATGTCAAAAGTTAAATAAATAGTTGGACGGACTATAGCATCCACTATTAGAATAGTTACTATAGGTTCGACGTACAGGGCCAAGAGCACGTCAAGCTTGACACTTAAGATTTAAATCCAACTCTACCGCTTACCATAAAAACGGTCCAAAGTTCAAGGTGTCAAGCTTGACGTGCTCTTGATGTACCGGAACGTTGTTACAATAAATCCGTTTATTCCCAATGGTTCCATGTACTCGATTTCGCGTAGAACAATTTGTAACCTTAAGGCTCACCTCACACTGGCGCAGAGTCGAAGCGTCGCGTCGCGTGCTGTTTTTCAACTACAACGCCGGACGACACGCGTCGCCGAGCGACGACTCTCGCGTTAATGCGTCTGGATCACAGTGTGGTCGGCGTCGGAAGCCTCGCTGCGCTCAAGTAACGTGTGGCGACGCGTGTCGACGCGCGAAGCCGCTCGACAACAACCATCGACGCTTGACTCCATACTTGCATAACACAAATTTGTATCTTAATATTGGGAAAATAGAGATGAATATGCTATAGGCGAAAAACATGACGCGGCGCGACCCTTACACTCTGCGCCAGTGTGAGTTGAGCCTAACATATCATATTTATTCCCATTAGTTCCATGTACTTTTAAACTACTTTTACACCTGACTATCTCACCTTTGGTCTAATAAGGCCACATCTGCAACAACTTTTTAGAAGAGAGGTTTTACAAACGAAATTATTCGGTTTTTTTTATACTTGAATAGGAGACCTATGAATAGTGACCAGAATTTAGGGAATCATTTTACCTAAAGTATGAACGTTTTCTTAGTATGGACACACCCATTACGTCATCATTGCATATAAAATGTCATTTTTTAGTGGTATATAGATTGTCTTACGTTTATTTTTTAAATAACTAATAAGTGCCTACGGAAACACAACTATAATATTATTTTTTGAAACAATTATTTGTAGCAAAACCTTAATAGGAAATTTTTCTTTATATTTTTTAAAGTTTATTTTTTCATAAATCAGACTACAGTGGTCCAAATTTTAATTCAATAGAAAGAAATGTAATTCCGACTATTCCCAGGATTTGCAGAAGGGAAAGTCCACATTGTTATTTAGTTTAGCTAAATTAAGTCCCTTAATTCCGACCCGCTGGTTATAAAATTTCACATATGCATTCTTTGTTTCATGTAATTTCATATTGTCATTCATATGATCATGTAGCTTTATTATACCAAGAGTACGAAACATACATATTGGATAAAATAAACCATATTGAACACAATGTTTGCTATTATTATTGGTATTATATCTGCGTGCGTGACATGTGACAAAATAAATACAAAAAATGTGACAAAATAAAATCGAAGGCATAGGAAAGACTTCGAAACCTTAACATCGAAACAGAT